CTGAACAAGAGGGTGGTGCTCTTCGGCTTCAGGGTGCAGTGCCCGTTCTGCTTCAGGCCGCCACCGTCGCCCATCCGGGAGAAGCAGACGGCGGCCATCCGCAAGGCCAACAGGGAGGAGTTCGAGCGCTCGAAGCCTCCCAAGAAACAGCTGGCGTCGGCCACGGCTGCGAGTTCTTCGACCTGTCCAAAAGTGACGGTGCGGAAGCACTCTTGCCTCAAGAAGTTCAAGCAGAAACGCAAGTTCCTGGGGAAGCAGGCCACGGCGATGGAGCTCAGCGAGCCGACGGAGGAGGAGCTGCTGAACACGGCGAACAAGGGCTCGCAGCTGGAGCACATCGACGCAATGGCCAGTAAGCAGCAGGCGACCAAGGACAACCTGCAGGAGTTGATCCAGTCGCCGCAGCCCGCCCTGCACACGGGCACGGAGGAGGCGCGCCACAGGGTGAAGGCGCTCATCCAACAGGCCGAGAAGTCCCTGTCCAGCGCGGAGGAGAGCTTGGCGCGGCTCAGGCGCCTGAGGACCCTGGCGGAGGCCAAGTGAACCTCGGGCGTGGACGCAGCCAGGCCTTCGCGGGCCAGGGTCGCGACGATCGCGACCGTACCGAGACAGAGCAGGAGCTGCCTGCCCTCCCAGCTTTCCCGTCCCTCCTCGAGGCGGGGGACGACCTGGAGTTCTCATTGGAGGACTTCCTTGAGGGCAGGGGACTCCAGGACGCGCTCGACGCAGCCAGCGCGCCTGAGGCCACGCGCATGGCGCTGCTGGCCATCAAGTCGTTCGTGCGCAGGCTCTCGCTCGCCCGGGCGTCCCAATAGTGGGATGCTAGGGCGGGCTTCGCCCCAGGTGTGACGCTGAGCTGGCTCTGGCCTGGGTTAGCGTGCGCCCCGCCCAGTTTTGCAGGCGCCAGGCATCGGTCTGGCGCCATCCAGGAGTTGGGCATAGGCTCGGCCCTCAGTAAGCGTTTCGCTGCTAGACATCGTCCTGGCGTGGCCTGTGCGCCAGGGGTCTCAAGGAGAGACTCGTATCATCAGAGCCCTCAGAGCCCTCGTCGTCGTCGTCGTCGTCCTCCTCCTCCCCCTCCTCCTCCATCCTCCTCCTCCCCCTTTCTCCTCCTCCTCCTCCTCCTCCTCCTCCTCCTCGTCCTCGTCCTCGTCCTCGTCCTCGTCGTCCTCCTCCTCCTCTTCTCCCTCCTCCTCCTCCTCCTCCATCCTCCTCCTCCCCCTCCCCCTCCCCCTCGTCCTCCTCCTTCCCCCTCGTCCTCATCCTTCCCCCATCGTCCTCCTCGTCGTCGTCGTCGTCCTCCTCCTCCTCCACCTCCACCTCGTCCTCCTCCTCCTCCTCGTCCTCGTCCTCCTCCTCCCCCTCATCCTCCTCCTTCGCCTTCGCCTCCTCCTCCTCGTCCTCGTCCTCCTCCTCCTCCTTCTCCTCCTCCTCCTCCCGTTTCCCCTCCCCCTCCCCCTCCTCCTCCCCTCCTCCTCCTCCTCCTCCTCCTCCTCCTCCTCCTTCGCCGTCGCCTCCTCCTCCTCCTCCCCTTCCTCCTCTCCTCCTCCTCCTCCTTCATCCTCCTCCTCCTCCCTCCTCCTCCTCGTCCTCCTCCTCATCCTCCTCCTCCTCCTCCTCCTCCTCCTCCTCCCTCCTCCTTCCCTCCTCCTCCTTCTCCTCCTCCTCCCCCCCCTCTTCCTCCTCTCCTCCTCCTCCTCCTCCTTCTCCTCCTCCTCCTCCTCCTCATCCCCCCTCCTCTCCTCCTCCTCCTCCCTCCTCCTCCTCCTCCTCCTCCTCCTCCTCCTCCTCCTCCTCCTCCTCCTCCTCCTCCTCCCCTCCCCCTCCCCCCCCTTTGTCCTCCTCCTTCCCCCTCGTCCTCCTCCTCCTCCTCCTTCTTCTCCTTCCCCTCCTCCTCCTCCTCCTCCTCCTCCTCCTCCACCTCCTCCTCCCTCCTCCTCCTCCTCCTCCTCCTCCTCCTCCTCCTCCTCATCCTCCTCCTCCTCCTCCTCCTCCCTCCTCCTTTCCTCCTCCTCCTCCCCCCCCCCCCTTTCCAGCCCTCTTCGTCATCTTCCTCTTCAGCGCTTTACAGTGGAGGCCCATGCCAAGAAACACCCTGTTCGCCTCCAGGGTGCCCTGGGTTGGTTGGGTTCCAAAGGATTTTGCCATGGGAAGCGTGACGTTCCCGCACTGAAAATCCATGGACGTCCTGGGGTCTCAGGTTTGGGTTTTTTGTGGAAGGTTTCTTGTGGTCGGGCCTCCACTGTACTGCGCAAGCCAAGGTGTCGCGTGCACGCTCGCATATTAAAAGGGTTGGTATTCGCATGGCTCTGGGTCTGCTTGGTGCAGTCCGGTGACACAGTCGTTGCAGGGGCGTGCGATTCTGGGTCGGAAAAATCGAAGAAGAAAGCAAGCTTCCCGAATAATCACAAGATGCATAATCAGCAATTTCCCGAATAATCGCAAAGTGCATACACAAATACATCTAACACAATATTGCACAACTCCCCTCCGCTGAAGAAATATGGCATGAGCATATTCTTTGGGAGCTCCGCGCGGATTTCGTGGATCGCCGCTGTCCTCCCCTTCTGTTCCGCTTAACCCAGGTATTTCTGGGACTTGGTCTTGCCGTGCTGATGGTTTTCGTGGTCCCGTTCTTTGCCATCACCGCGTGGGCGACCGTGAAAGCACCGCAACTCATGACGCAGGAGTCATTTCCTATTCGTTTCCGCTTCTGGCTGTATCGCTTCCGTCCGGACTGCTGGTGGTGGGGTATCCTGCTCAATGTGCGGCAGGTCCTTCTCGCGTTCGTCTCATCGGTGCCAGCCGACGATCCGCACTCACAGTCCACCTACTTCGTGATAGTTTTGGGAGCGTACCTGATCTTGCAGACGAGATATTGGCCATGGAAGAACCATGAATTGAACATGGCGGAGGCCTCCTTGATGGCACTGGTCATGTTCATGATGAAGGCTGTAACGGCCTTCATGCCTACCTCAACTCAGGACCATCATTCTGGATTGCTTACGTTCTTCATGGTGCTGGTTGTGGTGGAGATCAATATCATTTGTGCAATGATTGGTTGGGCGTTCTACAACAAGGTTGATTTGGGTGCAGAGTTTTCGTTCCGCACTGGGGAGAATCTGCAAGAGAAGCTGGCCGTCCAGTGGTGCGATCTCGTGGACAAGTGCCGCGAGCTCGGCGACGGGGAGACGAAGAGCATCGTGAAATGCATGAACGCCTACGATGTCCAGAACGTCCTACAGTCCATCAATGCTTTTCACGCAGCAGCGCCAGAAACTTTTCCCCAGGTAAAGACGGACAGTCTCATGAGCGACATGGCGTTGGCGCGCGTCATCTCCACTAACAAGGAAAAAGCGCAGCCCGAGTCGTCAAACGGCCACGGGGCAAGCCAGACAGATCCAGTTCCTGAAGCGAAAGAACCCGAAGCGAATGAAGCCTGAGACAGGACCAGATCAGGCAGCTGATACTAGTGATGCAGGTCCTGGCCCAGCAGATGAGGACCAACCCGTTGCTGTGTCCGTGATGCAGATATTTCGAGAGTTCCCACGTCGAGAGTTCCCATTTTTTGCATTATTTGTTGCAGCGTCTTTGGCAGCTCCCCATGCATGCTCTATGTTTTTTGCGACGCGTCCTCCCCCCAGGCCTTCTTTGAAGGTTGTCCCCCACTCGCTTGGGATGCAACTCCTGGGAGGTTAAACTCCGCGCGGGAGCATGTCCATGGTCAAACACCGGCTTCATCATGCGCAATCCCGTTCGATCTTGCCAAATCGGGTTTAATGTTTGGCTTAATCCTGGCTTAGTGGCCTTTCAATCGGGCGTTATTCAATCTAGGTCACCCGAGGAAGCGCGAATATAATGGCGCTTCGCACATCGCGGTCTGGGGTGGAGAGGCGCCCTTATCCAGGAGGGGCGACGCGAGGGCGCGAGGGCGCGAAGATGATCGCGCATCGCGGGGCGCGATGCGCGAAATCAGGCGACCTACAGTAGCATGTCATTGCATCTGGTTATCGATGAGAAAGCTCCGATCGTCAAAGCTGCGCTTATAGATTTTGCGGCGACTGTCGCGTCCCACGGCCCTGCCGCATTGGGTGCCTCCGCGCGCTCACCCCAAGCCGTTTTCCTCGCAGGCTGGGGTGCCACGTCGCAACCGAGGAAGGTCAAATGCTCGGTGCCTCTTGTGCACCCGTGCTCGTACTCGTTCCTTCCCCCCCTTCCACTCTTCTCCTCTTCCCCCCTCATCGCTCCTCCTTCGCCGATCCACTCTGCTTTCCTCTCATCCTGTGCCGTCCTTCTCTTGAGGAAGAGCAAATTCATAAGCATTAACTTTCGACGGTCCGCGCGGATACCTGGGATCTTCGCTGGACTTCCCTGGCGCGCGAAACTCGCGCCAGAGGCGGCGCCAGAGGCGCCGCCGGGAGGGCCCTGCGCAGATCCAAGAAATCCGTGCGGACCGTCGAAAGTTTTCTTTTTCTATTTCCTCCCTCCCCTCCCTTCTCCTCTTCCTCCGCTCCTCCCTCCTCGCCGACCCACTCTGTTCTCCTCATCCCTCCCATCCCGCGCCGTCCTTCTCTCTCAACCTTGCCATCTTCTTTCGGGGGAACGTAAGACTCGAGTAAACTGGGACTCAGGTTGACCGACGTTTTTTTGACGAGCGCGTCTTGGATTTTCACGGTCCTGTTTTCGTGGGATGTTTGCGGCGGAAGCTCGCGTCAAATTTTCAGATTGGGTCTCGTCGTTTTCGTGATGGCCCCGTCAGGCCAACCCGAGTCCCCCGTACCCGAGTCTTACGTCTCTCTGGAGATAGGAAAGGGGTATGGTGTAAAGGGTGTGGTGCTAATTTGATGGAAAGGTGAATGTGGCGATGTTATCTATCGCAGAAAGCATCGCCGACTCCGCGATTGGCACCAGACCCCTCTATGCCACACCCCTTCACGACCTCCAAAGTCTCCCCGATTCTTTCCCTCCTCCTCCACCCGCTCCTCCTCCCCCCCCTCCCCTCCGTTTTGCTTCTGGGGGCAGCCGCCCGGGCATCCGCTGGAGCAGCCGCCCGGCCCGCTGCCGATTTTTTTGTCATGCTGTCTGGCTTTCTGCGGGGGGGGGGGGCGCGTCGAGGCAGACGTGGCAAGCCCATATCTCGGGGGCGGCAAAGGGATGGGGCGATGACCTAAAGGGGGGGGGGGGGGGCTGCAGTGGGGGCGCGCATCAAGAAGCCATGGCTTTTCGTCAGGGTATTCTGGGTTTCTTCGCTCCTCGCGCTTCGCGGTGACTTCCCGCAGCCGTTGACGGAGCTGCTGCGTTCAGGGTGCTCCAGGTTTCCCCTCAGGTGCACCTCGCGCACGGGTTCTCAGGGTTAAATTTCTTGCGACGGTTTCTTGCGGCCGCGTCCGCTTTGTAGACGAGAAACAACGCCGCAAAATAATCGCGATGATTCTCTTCCTCCTTGCCGCAGCCGCAGTCGCATTTCCAGCCGCGGCCGCGGCTGGAAGAGGAGAAACCATCACGAACAATTCGAGTTTCCCCCTTCCTGCCGCGGATGCAGCCGCGGCCGCGGCCGCGGATATCATGGCGGGGGCCATGATATCTCCCCAGATGTCATGACGCCTCTTCTTACGTCATTACGTCCCCGGCCCCACCCCTGGGCCGTGCACATGCCGATGGCCATGATTCTGGAGGGTTCCAAAAGGGTTTTGGGGGAGGGGGTTTTCCAGGAGGGGTCCCCCACGGGCTTTGCACCCGCTGTTTTGACGAGGTTCCGAGGCCCTTGGGGGGCTCTCTGGAAAACCCCCTCCCCAAAAACCTTTTTTGGAACCCTCCGGTGATTTGCGCCCCCCCCTCTTGGACGTCCCCCTCTTGGCCGCCCCCCATGTATTCTGGCTGACAGTTGGCTTGCGTAGGCTGTCCTCAACTTCACGCCCGCGGTGCATCGACGTGATGCTTGCGGTTACTACCAAGTATGCGCCCTAACCTGGCCTCCTTCCTGTGCTCCTTTCGCCTTCTGCGTTCTGCGCCCTCCGTCATTCCTCGTTCCTCCTCATCTCTCCTCCCTTTCCTCCTTCTCCTCCTCTCACGAGGTCCTCACGAGGTCCTCCTCCTCATCCTGTACATAAGCTGTAGGCTGTGGCGCTCTCATCCCAGCGACTGCAGCTGGCATTCGCGAGCTGGATCTCATTGGGCTGACGGGCTCAATGCTCTCGCCCCTCAGCCTTGTCCACGCTGGCTTTGCTACCAGTGGCATTCAAGGCGACACTCGGCTGCAAGAGGTCGGCGCCTGTTCCATATCCTTCCCGTGCTCTTGTCCCCACCGTTCTTCTCCTACCACGTCGTTATTTTCACTCCTCTTCTCCCTCGTCCTCGTCCCTCCTCTGCGTTCCTCCCTCTGCTCTCCTCTTCCCTCTCCCTCCTCCTCGTTCTTCCGCATCCTTTTCCGTGTCTCCTCCCAACGTCCCCATTATCATGCATTTTTGTCGTCTTCCCGCTTGGGCCATTCCATTACAGGCTGAAGTGTTCGAGACCTTGGTTTAGCGCCCAGCAACGATTCGCGGAAAGAAGAGTGTTCCTCACCTACGTCCACCCTCCTCCTCCTCCTCCTCCTCCTCCTCATCCTCCTCCTCCTCCCACCATTTGCTCATCTTCTCCTCCTCCTCCTCCTCTTCCTCCTCCTCCTCATTCCTCCATTTCCGTCTCGTGCTTTTCTCCACCCCCACAGTTATCCTCCCTCTTCGTTAGCGTCTTTCTTCCTCCTCCTTCTCCTCCTCCTCTTCCTCCTCCTCCACCTCCTCCTCTTCCTCCACCTCCTCCTCCTCTTCCTTCTCCTCCTCCACCTCCTCCTCTTCCTCCACCTCCTCCACCCCCTCCTCCTCCTCCTTTCCTCCCCCTCGTTTTCGTCCATCCTCATTTCTTTCCCTCCTACTCCTGCTGTTGCTGTTTCTGCTGCTGTTCCTCCTGTCGTCGCTGTCGCGGGTGGCTTCGGAGTCTGTAGCAGACCAGGCTGCCAACGCCACTGGGGAGGGCGGAAAAGTCGGGCGACGATGAAAACAGAAAGGGGACGCCGAGGAGAGAGGGAAGGCAGGTGGGGAAGGACTGCCGGGAGGAGGAAGAGGAGGAGGAGGAGGCGAGGAGAAGGAGAAGGAGGAGGAGGAGGAAGAGGAGGAGGAGGAGGAGGAGGGGTGAAGGGAAGGGAAGGGGTGAGAGGGGAGACGGAGGGGGACCGTGCCAGGAAGCCAGGCGGCCGGCCGGGAGGAGGGGTAGCGCCAGGGAAGCGGAGGAGGAAGGCCAGTCTGTTTTTTCCGGCAAACACCTAAAATGTATTCGACGGTTTGATGCCGAACATGTCAAGGATACAGTTTATACAGATGCGTATCGAAGCATTTTCCAGCAAACGGAATTTCCTGGAAGGGTGTACAGGTCGATGCTGTAACGACAAATCTGCAATTGACGTGCTGAGCGAAGGCGAGGCGTGCTAGATCGACATGTGGGTTAAACTGAAGATCGTCTCAAGTGCAGCTGCCGGGCGAGCCCAGCCGAAACAGGGAGTAGCGCCAGGGTCGAAGGCATGGCAAGAGTGTACAGCGAAGCCAGAAGCCCGACGAACAAGGGGGGGAAATCCCAGGAGAGGGAGGGAGCCCAGACGGTGAGGACGGTAGGAGGGCGACGAACACCTCGCTCGTCGGTTCAGCTATGATTTGATTTCCATAACAGGAACCCAACTCATGCTGAAGTAGTGCTGGTGGGCGTCTGGGGGGACCCCAACATGTACCAACTCAAGTACCGCATTGCAGATACCGTCAGCATCAGCATTGAACTCGCGATGCACATGGCATATTTCCATTACGCCAGCCATTGACCGCACTGTCCAGAGAATCTCCAACCCGTGCTCGTAGGCTGCTCGCAGATCTGCTGACAAGCACCGCCGCTGACACGAAAATTACCGCGCGACAAGCAGACAGTCCTCTTGTAAAAGTACGCGTCGCACGGGGTGCTGAAACGCGTAGTGGACAGCAAGGTGGAAACCAGCATACTCAGCCGCATGGTTCGTAGCCGCCGCCAGAAACCTGCCGTATGCTGCAACTACGCGTCGCGTGCCCGCCTGGTAACGCCCGCAACCGCAGGATGAAGCGCTACCACGTGCACCGCCCTCACTTCTGCTTGCGCCATCCGAGGCGTAAATGACCCAGCCCTCGCGGAGTTCTGGCGGCTGGCGCGCGCGGGCCGCGCGTCGTTCGCATCGCAACGCATTGGCCAAGTTGACCGTAATCCATGGGTTGTCAGAAAGACGGCACGCGCGTAAATCTTGTAAAAGCAAGCGACGCAGTCGAGCTCGAATCACCGCGCTGCAATTCAGAGGATGCATTCATTACATTTGGTGCCCGCCAGCTGCATGGGTTTGCAGCCAGATCGCGGCTACGCTGAGGGCAGCGCGATCCACAAAAAGCTGCTGCCAGAAGTCCCGCAAGACGGCGCGAGCGTCCATGTGTTGAACGTTCTCTGCAGAAGGCTCCGCGCAAAATGGGCGCGGCCGAATTTCCTGCCCAAGGTCAGCAGACAGCCGACGGGAAGTGGACTCACCGTGCAGAAATTTGCGCATCCTTGTTATCCAGTGCTCTGCCGGCGCCGTCGACGGCACGCGGCGCGGGTCGCGTTCGACCGCTCCCCATTCAAGCCCGCGCGCCTGAAGACGCGAAGCCACCAGATTACGAGCCAGCGATCGTTCACTTATCAGCAAATCACGACACAGGGTCCGGCTCGCCTTGCGATCGGCGCCGCGGCCAGGCTGCGCCTCGTGGGGGGCCTCATTGACCGCGCATCATGCATCGCGAGGACAAACAAAGAAAACCAGAGCGAAAACCGACGCGGGTCGCAGCCCGCGCGCCAGTTTATCGCGCGACAACGCGGGCCCAGCAGAAAGATTCCAGGCCAGGGCGCGCGTTCCAAGGCTGGCGCGCGCGCGACGGATCACGCGCAATCGCTCCCCCATCGCGTCCACAGGGCTTCGCATCACGCCCTCGAGACTGGCATCTGGGCCGGGCCAGATACCGAGGGACTTCTGTTTAGCGACGCCGCGCGAATCTGGCCGAGCTGCTCGGCGGTTGCGGCGCTCCTCCCCAGTCAGAAGTTGGTCGGGGATCCGAGTGATTGTCCGCCGATCGGTGGGCTGCCCAGATGTCGCCTCGAAGGCGTCAGCGGCCCGCGCGGCCGACGGCGACGCGACGGGCGCAGCTGCGCCCAGTTTTGCATTAGTCGCGGAAGCCGCCGAACTCCAGCGGCGCCGCCGAGGCGCAATGCCTGGAAGAGGGAGGGGGTTGCAATCGCGTGCGCATCGAGGCTCAGAAGACGCCCTCGGCTGCGCCCGGCCAGGACAGTCGCGGGCGGGGAGAGGCCCGATGGGAACGAACGAGGGCAGTTAGCCCAGGGAATCAGCGAAGACCCCCCGCCATTCGGTGAAATGATGGCGCGACGAGCGCCCTGAAGCGCTGCTCCAGCACCTTGGCGCCCGGCAGTTGCTCGGCGCCCCCGCGGGGCGCCCGGCGACCTTCGAGAGCGCCATGAGGAGGAGGGGCGAAGAGGGGGAGGGAAAACAGAGGAGGGAGAGAAGGAGGAGGAGGGGCAATGGGAGAAGCTGAGCAAGAGAAGCGCGATGTCGGGGGGAACTATCAATATGTATATGTTGCGGCTCGGTGCGGTGCGAAAGATATAGCTCCGCTCGGCCCGCCCCCGCGGACCTTTCATTTGCGCGTCGCTGCAAAAGACGGCGACAGAAGGGCGCCATCCGTTTCCCTGGGCCATTCCTCGCGGCAGCGGCTTCGGCGGGCCACCGCGCTCGGAGGCGGCCTGCGTCCACTCCCAAGACGACGAGTTCGAAACTAGTTCGGGCTTCTTGGGCGCATCCGACGCCCCCGCGACGTCGCGACCCATCTGCCCTCCGCCGACGCAGGCCCGCAGTCGGCGTCGCACTGGCCGGAGGCGCTGGCGGCGCCTAGTTTGCGGGCAAACGCGCGCC